TTTTAGGAAAGTGGTTCTTTAGTGTTATCCCCAAAGCTGTAGTGTAACAAAGCACACCTTATGCTACCAGGTGATTCACTAAAACCGAAACACACAGCTGCTACTGAGGGCGAAATTTTTAGCTGATGGGATCAGTTGCATTTTCACCTGACGAAGCTGTGTCTCTCAAATAGCAATAAATGATTGCAACTCCCAAACGCGTGCTCCATTGTTGGCATCGTCTCACAGTTGACCTGATCTGCTTTCCACTGTGGTAGGACTAAGACGTTTAAATTGTTCCCATGGTTCCTTCCTGTACACTCAGACCTGACGCGTTCAGTCAGATCAAATGTATTTTGTCTTCGTCCGTCAACTCTATCTTGCAAAGCACGCCCTGTCGAACGAGGCTCTCACTTCAAGGGGACCCCGCGCACTTCGTTGACCGATCGATGTGTTGTCCCGAAAGTAGGTCAAATTGTCTCCGAGTTGCAGTGAGGATGTGACAGATCCTAGAAAGCTGTCCATTGTTGTTTCGGTGATTGACATGTTGCCATCCGAGGTCAGTAAAATTTACCATCATGAGAAAGGTTTGACAGAAGTAATCGGGATTGCGCAAATCAAGGTTGTAAATGTCTGACGTCAATAGAAAAAAAGGTATCTGAGGTTTTGAAGTTGGTTTGGCGAAACAAACATGGTATTGGGCGTTTGATACCTCGATTCGTTCAGGCTGACGTAACCATGACTTTTCAAAATTGGTTCATTTTTTAGATATTGCTCACATTCTTTGCTGCATTTATCGGAACGCAAACTGTTCAAAGCAATCTTTGTATCTTTCCTCACATTTTCACGTTGCTGTTGACAACAAACCCAATAATTCTTTTTTACTGGTAATCGTAGGATCGATGGTGTTGATAACTCCTTAGAAATCTCATGTGGGAAAGGTTTCAGACGCTTCGTTCTCGTGCGTATTCACTCATTGATGCGCAATGGGATTTTTCGTTACTTTTCACTGAAATTTATGATCATATATGTTTGATGCAATGGAAATGTTTGTGATAAACGACAAAGAGCACTGGGCAGCAGCTGTTTCGTCCTTTTTGGGACTCGTCAGCAGTGCACAATTTTTGTGTCCCTGTCAGGCCTCAAACCGCGATCCTTCGAGCTGGAACTTCAAATCCTTACCATTGATCTA